TTGATGTCTTGAGATAGGATCATATCAGTTTCACAGAGGAAATCGTGTAGTGTTTCAAAAACTTCTGGTTGATTATTCTCAATAAACGACTTCCAAAACTCTAACTTTTTAACAAAACATTCTACTTAGTCAGTGACTTGAAATATTGTCAGTGCACTGTTTAGAAGAGTCAAATTTAAAGTATTTAATGTTTTGCTCTAAATTTATAGTAAACTATAACAGTTACATTAAATTTTACTTTTTCCGCCATTATTCAATTTTTTTCGCGTACCCCTTGATATCATATCACGGAACCCTAGGGGTACGCGTACCCCAGGTTGAGAACGGCTGATCTATACAATAATAGTGTTTTATAAGTATAGACCCAATCGTTATTATAACGTCCAATTGATCATACATCTCAGAAATCGCCAAATTGGAAAAATGTGTTAATCTAAACAAGTGTTATTACGGTTAAAAGTACGTCAAGACCACAACGGGTCGATTGCGGTCCCCGACGATTCACGCACTAAACGATACCAGTCGTTTACTCACCATTTACATACATAAAATAACATTAATCAAAAACATATAATCTGTCTGGTAGTTGGCAGTTAAATTAAATTTGTTTTTTTATTGTATTTGGTAATTGCATTATAATATACAGTACCGTAGACAATTTTTTTTTTTTTTTTGGAGGGAGGAGAGCACTTATCATTTTTACATAAGTTGCCATATCTTGTTGAACGATTAAATAGATGGAAATAACCAATAAACAAAAAAATGAGGAACACGCTCCCAACCACCCCTCCACATTCCCCCTGGCACTGGTGTGCACTATTGAGAGGAAGTTAAAGTTTCTATTTCTAAAAAGTCAGCAATTTCGAGATGTCACTGAACCTATATTATAATACAACGATTAAAAAATAGTATTTTTAATTTATTCGAATTTAATTGAAATCGTTCAACATTTCTAAATTAAAACTCGTTTTTAAATTTTAAATTGAAATATTTTCGGATGGTCACGCCGAAATCATGAATGATAACTTTAGTGGCTATATTATTTATGTACATAAATATTATAATATAATTACACACTGTTTTATAAAATAGTTGATTAAATTAAAAATTTGAATAAAATACCCTTCAGGTTGTTCTCCGCATTATTACTGAAAAAATTGATGAAAAAATTATTTATTTCACATCTCAAAGCTATTTTAAGTATAAAAAGAATAACATGATTAAAGAATACAAGGTTGTCTGCTACCTTCTTATTTTTTTTGAAATAATCATTCACGTTTGAATTACACCGGAATAAAAATACGTGGCCTTTCAAAAATTGTAATTAATTATTCAAAATAAGTTTCTATAACGAGTGTCGTATCAATTTAGATTTTTCGACACAGTCATCGATACGTTTATTATTTTGTTGAATTATAATAACCTTTCGATAGAGCATAAATAATTGTAATGCATGTTTTGTGCAGGTACACGGTGTAATCAACATTATAATAAACAGGGTGTATCTTCAAGATTTGACGACTCCCTAAAATATAATTTTATAAAAAGTAAATTGTAAAATTTCGCTGTCACAGTATAATAATAATATAGTATAGATAAATAGGACAAATAATATACCTATTTATAATAATCATTTAAAAACGAATATGTACACTAATGAAATAATATTATATTATAACGCAATTTAAAGTTGTATATTTTTTTTTTTTTTTTAACGCAGTGGTTTGTGTATAAATGAAAGTAATTTAAAGTCCCTCCTCTGTAATCAATTGTTATATTTATGACGAGTAAACACGATTTATACATTAACAAAACTCGATCAAAATGTGATTCACGACGGTATTTTTATGTCGAGTCAACACGATTTCTGGATTACCTACGTATAGCAAATTTTATTTTTACGTTTAAATATTATATTTTTATGCAGATATATAATTCATTATTATATTCTTACATACGTGTGTAACAACGCTATTTATGCAGCGCGTCTGTCGCGACTTTTATTGTTACCGCGATTACCGCAATATATAACGTAACATAATATAATATGTGCAGTGCGCGAAGTTGATTTTGTAAAATCATAAAACCACGATAATATTATTTCCAGGTATTTTCGTTTGGCTTACGTCAGTGGCGTGTGCATAGGAGGAAAGTAAGGGTGGGAGTTTATTGGTTTAAAAATACAACAAATTAAATATTACGAGCGTTTATTTAGTAATAATTTAAGTTATTTATCTTAGCCAAATAACGCGGAAAAAGCTCGATTTGTTGAATATAAATTACCTTTTTTTTGTTCCGGTTTTAAAATTCTCATTGTCGGGTTTCGTATAACAGAAGAATATTTTACAAATTATTCGTAAATTATAATTATTATTGTTTAATACATCTACCCCAACAAACCGTCAAAAATTCGCGAACAACGCCATTAGTTCACGCGTCTCTCGTGAACTTTTCTTCACTTAGTCGATAAGAATAAAATGTATATTATATTAAGTAGGAGGAAAATCTAGACGTAGTTTTTTTCGTTTCGAAAACTACAGGTTTTGTTTTTTTTCTGAATTTTTCTTAATATAAGTAGTGTACTACAAGTGGGTGCACTGAGATTAACACGTGGAATTTGAAAATGAAAATTGGTAAGCGAAATCGTGTCACTCGACACTCGATTATAATATTCATTAAACAAATAACGGAATTTAGTACACAGGTGCGTCTATATAAAAAAAAAAAAAAAAACCAACGTATAATATTAAACGCCGGCAATTGCGGGTGGGCGCACGCGATATACACATAATAAAATATGCACTATTCAAATAAGAAAAGTTATTTCATAAAAAGTTCGTCCTAGAATAAAAATGTTCGACTGCCATTGACAAAATATTACTGTATCGTTTATACCAATAGAAAAAATATACCAAATTGAATAACACGATATAATATAGGTATCAATTGTTTTTAATGTGTTATACTATTGTTAATTTGAATCGATTTAATCGAACCTCCTATTTTTTAAACGTTTCTTTTACAATAGGTATAAAAATATTTTAGAAACGTAAAAAAGTGGTTCGACCAACTAGGGATATTCAGTTTTTAATTATGCAGTTGTCGGTAAATGATAACGTAGAAAATCGGAAAAATAGGGTGACGGAAAACGATGCTGATTGTAGTTTGGTTATTGAAACGTTTTTTGACGAAATCTAAATTGAACAATTGTATACGCCTATTAATTATTGCAACCTCGAAATAAATAGTTGTAATAATATGTTGTCAACATATACGTACATTAAACTCAAAACGCCGACAAGAATCATATTATAATTTTTTCCGTATTAAACCGAGAAAAATAAACAAAACTAGACAATTTAAAATGGCATTCAATAGGGATGGGATACCTTCAATGCATTAAGAAAGTATCTAATATCGAAATCGACCAAAACTATCATTAAATAATATTCGGTGAATGACACTTATTCGAAAATGATAAGAACCATTTTCGGAAACCTGGTCACATATTAAAATATTGCACACAGTACACATGAAATAAAATACTATCCGACGCGGTTTTGCATGACAAATCAGGGTTTATTTTGGATTTATATCCATTAATTCGATTTTTCTGGAGCTAAGGACTCCAGATAAACTAATATTAAAATTCAATATAGTAGTATATATAGTGTTTTAATATTATACATTTAAAATATATAAGTACTCATAGAAATTATGCTTTCAGTCCGTTATTAATTATTATCCTTATTTGTCCTTGTCATTTTCGAACAATTGCCCCTACACATAACATATTGTATTACACAAACTAATAACAATTATATTATTATCATTATCATAATATACCTACTGGTTAGAAATTAGCATTTATATTTACGAGTACATTTGGTATAGTAATTTTAATTTTTAATCGTTTATTTTTAGTTGATATGAAGAATATTTTTTCGGTAGGTTTAATGTTATTAACAAACCTATTAGTACTAAAGACACAATTGTCACTCATTAATCACATAATTTTCAAAGTTTTCAAAAACGTATAGTTTTAATAATACGCATTTACCGCCAGTAGGTAATGCATATAAGAGCTGGCTCATCAAAACATTGTAGTTTTTTTTATCTTGTCGTAAAAAAAAAAAAAATGAATTGCTGGTTGTTGACTAGGCATGATAATCCACACGCAATAATCAATTATTCTTTTTTTTGTCGAACATTTATTATTTGTACCTAACACCACCGGATAAACGTGTCCTTTACGCGTTATTTTATTTTATCAGTTAACAATATATTGACACGTTATTATTATATAACATGAAATATAATTAATACCAACTACATCAGTAATAATTATGAGAACATTTAATAATAAAATCCAATAGATATTAAACAGTTTGGACGTTTCAAATTTTTATTTTCATTAAAATCTTGATTTTTATATTTTTCAAAGTTCAGGAAAAAAGTATACAGTCAATATTAGTCATAATAATAATAATGATTATTACTTCGTTTACCTAAAACTACGTAGCAGGCTATAAATCGCATTCACCAGTTGACTATTATTGTTATTATTATTATAGATAACTGCTAAATTGTAATTAGTGGTCGAAAAATAAAGACATTATACGCAATCATTTTTACGATATAATTGTTATAAGATAAAATTTTAAAAAATGCTGAAAATATTAGGGCCTTATAGATCATATATAAATGAGTTTCGCTCAGAATCGTTGCCTGCACATACAAATTAAATAACTTTATTTATTTTACCTTCCCATCTTCCCATCTACAACAGTGACACATCAGCAGTATCAGCTTTTTTTTTTTAATAATAATAATAATATTCTTATTTACTTTATTCGCATTTTCAATTTGAATAATTCAGTCGATTATATATTTAAAGAGCTAACCGACCGCCGACTCCGTTTCGGGTTAACCGCATTATGTTATCTGTTCGTATTTCCTACAACGGGCGATCTCTGTAAATTTGATGCAATAGCTTTACAGAGATAGGTAGAAAAGGTAGATACGTGGAATTAATAAAATATAATAATAATATTAAACCTAATGCCACGGTTGAAAATATATAATATTCATTTACTAAGTATATAATGCCATAAAAAAATATAAGCTCATTGAGGCTCGAAGAGATTTATCATAAATTTGGTTTCGTTTATTTAGGTTGGACCACAGAACATCATAATAATAACCGTATATTTTATTCGCTTATTTATAGATTTTATGGAATGTATTTTTTTTTTTTTTTTTTCATAAAGGTATAAGTCCCGAAAAACCGGATTATTTTGTATTATTTACATAATACGTATTATGGTAATATTTGTATAAAATGCTTGTTCTTCTACTTTCAGTTTTATTTTTCCAAATTTGTTTTTTACGGACTGTTATTTAGCTAACAATATAATATATATTATTCATTTAATCAAAAGTAAGTACCTATTATATATAGTTGACTGACTGAGCCACGTGTACGTACGCAGTCGTTTAATTAATGTGTAATACTTAAATACGATATATTATGTAAGTATTATTGTTTATTCGAATCCCATATTATATTATTATTTTACCGTATTAGGTTTCATGATTATTAGGAACCCCGGTTTTGTGCTCAAGAATGCCTGGTAGAGTCAAACTTTTTCAAATCTTTTTTTAGATTTTGTGTTTAACGAAGAATGTGTTGGTTTTACAAATATGATTATTTTTTTTTTATGTGAACACTTTTTCGACAAGAAAGCTTAATCCGATATACAATGTGGACTCTTTTCTGTAAGAAAATTTTCTTGGGGTGGTACTTTAAGTAGGCCCTTAATCGATTTTCTCAGGAGTTTTTTCATTAAATGTGAAAAACCGAAATATAACGGAGGAAAAACGGGAAAATATACGAAATAAATTAGTAAAAATATATAAATATTTAAGTAAAATATTTTTTTTTTTTTTTGTGGACAACTTTTTTTTCCAGCAATATTGTTTCGATTTATGATAGCACTTTTAAAAATAGGAGAACTGACGGGTGAGGTAATTTAGAGAGGTAATTTTTTTGATTTTTCGAAGATTTTTCCAGCAAATGTGAAAAACCCGGTAAAATCATGGGAAAACTGAAAGAAACTTAGGAAAAACGATAAAATTGTTATAATATTTAACAAATATTATTAAAATAGCGTTTCCTTTTAGAATAATTGCTATCATTAAAGGTTGGAACAAAATTGCTAGTTGAAAATTTATGCACTGGAAAAAAAATGGTAATATTATAGTAACATATTTCGTACATTTTCCCTTTTTTTTTTTTTTTTGTTTTTCAAATTTGATGAGAAAACACCAGAGAAAATCGAAAAATAACCCCCCTAAAGTACATTTCCATTTCGATTTTCTTTCAGAAAAGGAAAAAAATATATTTTTTTTAAAATTTTAAAACCATAAGCTTTTTCACTCTACTCAGAATCTAAAAAATAATATTATTCATATATTATGTACACCCTACAGAGATACGAGCAGACTTATTTTAAATTTTCTTTCATAACATTTACAGAAACTAGCTCGTTTTAAAATTCACCTTTTTAACAGCTTTACTCGAAGTACGCGAAATAATCATTACAAATGTTTGTATTTTAGAGTTTGAATTTAAAGCGGTAAATTACTTATGTACAACAATTGTGTAGATATTACTAAACTATTAAAATGCATGTTTTTTCCAAAACTGATGAAATATATGATAAGGGCTTGGTCCTCGAATTAAACGGCTACCTTATAGCTTCAACTAAAAGTATTAGTGCGATATGGCAGTTAGTAATCTAGTTTATTGTATAGCGTGAAGTTCCCGATCCTGTATGATAGTTTTATGTTGAACAAATTGCGTAATTTTTGCTCTCTGCAGTTACTGTTTCATTTTTATATTTTTACAGTCAATGGTCGTTTAAAATTCGTTGCATGTCCGTGCACGTTTCAACATACTCGTAATATTATTAGATTATTGTAATTTAAAACCTGACTTGTCCGTTTCATATATAATATAATATTTGTTATCGTCCCTCTATTTTGAAGATTGTTACCTATACCCCATTGCAATCTAGTTCTTTTCAAATAATGTGTAGTAATATTATGTTGGTTTTGATTTTATTGCTGATGCTCTGTACGTCGTTATATATTTGTATAGTCGTATACAGGGTCCGCAGCCTCGCATAAATGAAATTTGCTATAGCTAAAAGTGGATACCTACCTAATCAAGATTGTCGTTACTTTTATTTGTATTACTTTTTTTTTTTTAATACTATTACAGCGTTTGTGTGAGTTTTTGTTTTGAATGTTCTAGTCGAAACGATTTAGACTGTCTGCAGACAGTGAAATAAAGTTGATTAAAAAACAAATTATTATTATACGTTCCGTATTATTGCGCGAGTACGATATTCTGCAAGTTCTGGTAAAAATACGTGCAACTGCTTTATACATAATAATAGTAACGATCTTACCACTTTATTTTGGTCGTATATTAATTATTATATAGTTCACGAAAAAAAAATAAAAAATAGTTGTTAAAATTAGTTGAAAAATATTTAAAAAAAAAACAAGTTTTTCAGACCACATTTTGAATTTTAAGCGATTGATTGAAGTCAATATAAGTATTCAAAAGCGATAATTTCCATCAAATTTGTTTTATTGTGAACACATTATTACAAATTTTACGTATTAATTTATTTAAACACATAATATTTGTATTATACTTGCCGAATGTCCTATATTTGTTAAATAAATGCAATTACATCATTAATAATAATACCTACCAAAAGTAGAAGTTTTCGATGGTTTTTCGACAACATTTTAAATACGCAATAAAAATTAAACAATAAAATCACCCAAATTACCAAGTGTACAAAATTATCTTTCGGAAAATATGCTACACATTTACACATTAAACATTTCGACAAAAATGTCTGGTAAAAAGTTTTTTACAGTTATAGAAAAAAAAAACCAATACATAAAATATTACTCCCAAGACTATAATGAATTTGAATTAACACTTATCTACTTATATAATACTTGTATAGTTTATTTACCTTTTGAAATAAAACAAATAACATTTATTACGTCTATATGATAAAATTATACACGTACAGTGTGCATAGCCAGTACTTGAATTTGGGGGGATGCAGGGGGACGGAGTATCTCAGTAATTTTAAAAAAATGTAAGCGTACCTCTACTACTTGTTTGAAGTGGAACACATGGGGTGCAATGGCGGATACAAGGGGGTGCCATGGTGATCGCTCTTTTTTGGACCATGTTTTTTTTATGTAATTCTTGTATTCTATAATTTTATGTAATGCATACTTATTTTTAATAAAACCCGTCCCCCATTGAACAACTACGATCCACAACCGCATATCGACGTAAAAATACGGCGTATATTTTGAATTTTAATCAAAATATACTTTTACTAAAATTTGTACTTAAAATGCCTATAAAGAAATTAATATATTACGTTGAATTTTTTTTTCCTACTAATTGCAACCTATAAAAATAATTTTAATCACATATAACCAAATAAAATCTCAAAAAACTTACAAATTTTAAATGACTAAAAATAAAAAATCGCCAGAATGATTTGAAAATTGTACTATGTCTAAAAACAGGTGTATACAATAGAGACTATACTTATAAGGCTATAAAAATAAAACTATCCAGTGAAATTTCCTTGAGAAAACACATTATAATATAATTATACATAGTAGTTACCATCATATTAGAATCTAAAACAAATATTATCTATTATGTAAGCAAAAGTTAGCCCTCAGTAATTAGTGTTTGTTTTCTGAATTGATGAATTTTTGAATTTTATTTGAAAATCGGTGTGGAAGGTGTAGAGAACCAAGTCCCCCATAGGTTAAGTTGAGTTCAATATTTGCAAGGGATGCTCATTTTTGTTCTGTTTTATAGTCTCTTTTATTTATGTTTCCAATTTGAGCACTTCCAATCCTTCCTTCCAAAATCAGTGCTTGGCGCCAGAAAAATTTCCAAAAAAAATTATCATAATCTTCTATGTTAAACCCGTCAATAGGCGTTTACTTATACGTTCATTACATTTATTGTAGACATCGTTAACTATGAAACTACAAAATGTTCACATACAAGCGTCTCTTTGGCCTCGGTTTGCCCCCCTTCCCCGTGATCATAGTACCCGGTGCATGTACACCTCTCGTACTCTTCTAGACACGATTGTGTACACGTCAAACCGGTAAACACATTTACACAATACGAAAAGCCAAAAGGAAAACAATTAATTGAAATTTCATTATCATATTGATTGCAATTAATTCACTTTATATATTATATGATTAAGGTTTCCAATCGAATCTAGTCACTCTTACTACATCTTATGTTACCGTATTTGCATGAGTAAACATTATTTAATCACGTTGGCGGTAAACGAAAATGAATAGTATTATACCTCGAGTATATTATTCCTATTTAATATTGTACACTAATATTTAATTTTGACTATGAAATGAAATCGTCAGTCATTTAATATATAATCGTGGAGTGTCACGACATTCGCTAAAATATTTTTTTAGAGATGCAATGGACAATAATTGTCCAAAATACAATATTATTGGTATAATATATACTATTTATTAGGATATTTTCAAAATATGCATTTGGATATTATTTATTACTTTACTCTACTTACACGTCGTTGTAAATAATTATCGTAATAATATAATGACTGTAGTTAGGGTATTCTGAGAAAACCGGAGGCGCAACAAATTTGAAAGGAAATTGTTAGGGTGAATGAAGAGTATATGACCCCAGTCCATGACCTGCAAAAAGGAAGTAACGATAGACGTTAAAACTCAGAGCATAAATTAGGATGCATGGGCTCTGGAGAAAACATAGATGATTTATTAGAAAAAATGTTACGGGAGGATTCGAATGGAAAGAGGCCCTCGGGAAGACTGCGTATAAGAAGTAATCAGCCAGAAATGTTGCCAGATTTAAATTGGTCACCAGAGGATGGTGATAATAGGTAGCTAATTATTTCTATGGATGTTTTGTCTTGAAGGCCACAGCCAAAGAAAAACAAAACAGGACACGGATTTAAATGTAATGATAATTTTTTTTTTGTGTGTTTTGAGGTATTAATACATTTGACTCTTTTAGTATTAATTTTTCACCGTTTTTCTCCTGTTTAAGCTCAGCGAGGATAAA